CTCCAGACGCTCCCCACTCCTGTCATGAGTTGATGGGTCTCAGCCCTCTGAGGGGTAGGGGCTGTGGAAGGACTTGGGGGGGGGTTGGGGGGGCTAAGCCCCACCACGTGCTGCTTCCCTTGGCACGGCAAGGGGTGGCCACGGGGCTCGCCCACCCCAGGTGTCCACATTGGACTCATCCACTCGTGTCACCCCGTGATATTTCTCCTCCCTCTGTAGCCACCGCTGCCATGTCAGCCCCAAACCCCGCACCAGCAGAGGATGGGCAGGAGCTGAAGGTAGGGTTGAGGGTTGGGGGGGGTGTGGGGGAGTGTGTGGGGTCCCTACTCATTGCCCCCCACCCCAGCAGAGCGTGGTGAGCCGAGTGGCCAGCCTGCCCCTGGTGAGCTCTGCCTATGGCATGGTCTCCACCGCCTACGCCTCCACCAAGGAGAGCCACCCCTACGTCAGGTCCGTCTGCGACGCCGCCGAAAAGGGGGTGAAGACGCTGACGGCGGCGGCGGTCAGTGGGGCACAGCCCCTCCTCACCAAGCTGGAGCCCCAGAGTGAGTGGGGCTGGGGGGTAGGAGGTGGGGGGGCAGCACCTCGTGGGACTTGGGGTGCCCAAAAAGTAGAGCTCCTGCGAGGAAGTAGGGTGGGAATAATCTGGTTTTGTGTCTCTGGTTTATATCATCAGCAAATATGGATGTAAAGGGCTGGGGAAGCTGGAGGAGAAGCTGGGGGGGGCAGCACCCCATGATTTCTGGGGTACCCCCAAAAACCGGCCTTAGCAAAGATCCTACAAGTCAAGAGGATATTAAAAAATATGTATTTTTATGTCTCCAGTTTCCACTGCCAACGACTATGCCTGCAAAGGGCTGGATAAGCTGGAGGAAAAGCTGGGGGGGGGAGAGGGCAGCACCCCGTGATTTCTGGGGTACCCCCAAAAACCGGCCTTAGCAAAGATCCTGCAAGTCAAGAGGATATTAAAAAATATGTATTTTTATGTCTCTAGTTTCTACTGCCAATGACTACGCCTGCAAAGGGCTGGATAAGCTGGAAGAGAAGTTTGGGAGGGGCAGCACCTCATGGGTTTTGGGGTACCCCAAAAACTGGCCCAAGGCAGTAGGGTGGGAATAATCTGGGTTTGTGTCTCTGATTTATATCATCAGCAAAAACGGATGTAAAGGGCTGGGGAAGCTGGAGGAGAAGCTGGGGGGGCAGTACCTCATGGGTTTTAGGGTACCCCCAAAAACTGGCCTTAGCAAAGATCCTACAAGTCAAGAGTATATTAAAAAATATATATTTTCACCTCTCTAGTTTCCACCGCCAATGACTATGCCTGCAAAGGGCTGGATAAGCTGGAGGAGAAGGTTGGGGGGCAGCACTTTGTGGGTTTTGGGGTTCCCCAAAAACTGGCCTTAGTGAAGATCCTACAGGTCAAGAGGATATTAAAAAATCTGTATTTTCATGTCTGTAGTTTCCACCGCCAACGATTACACCTGCAAAGAGCTGGAGGAGAAGCTGGGGGGGGTGGCAACACCTTGTGGGTTTTGGGGTACCCCCAAAAACTGGCCTTAGGGAAGATCCTACAAGTCAAGAGAATATTTAAAAATCTGTATTTTCATGTCTCTAGTTTCCACTGCCAACGATTACGCCTGCAAAGGGCTGGATAAGCTGGAGGAGAAGGTGGGGGGGCAGCACCTCATGGGTTTTGGGGTACCCCAAAAACTGGCCTTAGCAAGAAGCTGGAGGAGAAGCTGGGGGGGCAGTACCTCATGGGTTTTAGGGTACCCCCAAAAACTGGCCTTAGCAAAGATCCTACAAGTCAAGAGTATATTAAAAAAATCTATATTTTCACCTCTCTGTTTTCCACCGCCAACGATTACACCTGCAAAGGGCTGGAGAAGCTGGAGGAGAAGTTTGGGGGTGGGGCAGCACCTCGTGGGTTTTGGGGTACCCCCAAAAACTGGCCTTAGGGAAGATCCTACAAGTCAAGAGAATATTTAAAAATCTGTATTTTCATGTCTCTAGTTTCCACTGCCAACGATTACGCCTGCAAAGGGCTGGATAAGCTGGAGGAGAAGGTTGGGGGGCAGCACTTTGTGGGTTTTGGGGTTCCCCAAAAACTGGCCTTAGTGAAGATCCTACAGGTCAAGAGGATATTAAAAAATCTGTATTTTCATGTCTGTAGTTTCCACCGCCAACGATTACACCTGCAAAGAGCTGGAGGAGAAGCTGGGGGGGGTGGCAACACCTTGTGGGTTTTGGGGTACCCCCAAAAACTGGCCTTAGGGAAGATCCTACAAGTCAAGAGAATATTTAAAAATCTGTATTTTCATGTCTCTAGTTTCCACTGCCAACGATTACGCCTGCAAAGGGCTGGATAAGCTGGAGGAGAAGGTTGGGGGGCAGCACTTTGTGGGTTTTGGGGTTCCCCAAAAACTGGCCTTAGTGAAGATCCTACAGGTCAAGAGGATATTAAAAAATATATATTTTCATCTCTCTGGTTTCCACCACCACCGATTACGCCTGCAAAGGGCTGGATAAGCTGGAGGAGAAGTTTGGGGGGGGGCAGCACCTTGTGGGTTTTGGGGTACCCCCAAAAACTAGCCTTAGGTAGGATCCTACAAGTCAAGAGGATATTAAAAAATCTGTATTTTCATGTCTCTAGTTTCGGGGGGGGTGGCAGCACCTCGTGGGTTTTGGGGTGCCCCAAAAACTGCCCTTAGCAAAGATCCTACAAGTCAAGAGGATATTTAAAAATATATATTTTCACCTCTCTAGTCTCCACCGCCAACGACTACGCCTGCAAAGGGCTGGATAAGCTGGAGGAGAAGCTGCCCATCCTGCAGCAGCCCCCAGAGATGGTAACGACTCCCCTGGGGGGGGACACTGGGGGGGTCCAGCAGCTCTGGGCGAGATGCTGGGCCTGAGGTGTCCCTCTGCTGTCCCCTCCCAGGTGGTGGCGGGGACCAGGGAGCTGGTGTCGTCCACGGTGAGCGGGGCGGTGGGCCTGGCCCGCGGGGCGGTGCGGGGCGGCGTGGAGAGGACGCGCTGGGCGCTGAGCAGCGGGGTGGTGGGCAGCGTGGTGGGCTCCAGCGTGGGCCGGCTACTGGTCACCGGGGTGGACGCCGTACTGGGCAAATCGGAGGAACTGGTGGAGAGATACCTGCCCGGGACGGATGAGGAGCCGGGTGAGTGCTGATGGAAACCATCTCCCAAATTTTGGGGGGGTGTCGAGATCCATCCTGGGACCCTCACCCCATCGCTCACCACCTGGTGGCCCCTGTTTAGCCCCACACTGTGGTCCCTGGGGGGCTTGTGGCCACCGTGACACCAAGTAGGGGACAGTCCCCAAGCTGTTGGGAAGGTGGGGAAGGCAGACGTGACCTCTCACCTGGAAACCAGAAAGTAAATATATCCCCGTGCCACCCATCCTGGGTATTTATAGCTCAGCACGGGGTTGGGGTGGCCAGAACTGGCCCCATGTCACAGCAGAGGTGACTGCAGAGGCCACCTTGGCTTTTTGGTGACACCTCCACGTGACTTGGTGGCCGAGCATCCCGTGGGGGGGAACATCTGCACCCCCGTGTCCCGGTTTGAAGGCCATGGGGGGAGGAGTGAGGGGTGAGGAGCTCAGTGGGGGGGGTCATCCCAGTGCCGGTGGTGGGATGCTCCGGTGCCTGGGAGCGGGATGGTCCAACCATGGTGGTTCTGGTCCCCACCAGTGGTGGCAGCGGGCACGGAGGTGGCCTCAGCGGAGCTGCAGAGAAGGTGGCAGAGCTACTTCGTCCGCGTGGGCTCGCTCTCGGCCAAGCTGCGGCACCGGGCCCTGCGGCGCTCGCTGGGTGAGCTGCAGCGGGCACGGCACAGCGCCCAGCACCTCCTGGCCCAGCTCCACCGCATCTTTGAGCTGGTAAGGACCCAACGGGGACCGTGCCAAACCCCATCCCAGCCTGGCACCTTCCTCCTGGGGTGATTCCTCCACCTCGCTGTGCCCATTTTCCAGATCGAGCAAGGACGGCAGGGTATGGATGGGCCCCTGTATGGCACCCGGCAGCATCTCCACCGCATGTGGCTGGAGTGGAGCCAGCAGGATGCTGTGCCCATGGAGGAGAGCGAGGTACGGGGTGGGGGTACCATGGGGGACACCGAGGTGTGGGATAGGGTGGGGTCTGTGCCCAAAGGGGACCATCCCCATGGAGGTACAGGGTGGGGTGGGAGGTCCTTTCCATGGAGGACACTGAGATACAGGCTGGGGGACCATTCCTGTGAAGGACACCAAGGTATGGGGTGGGGAGGCCGTGCCCATGGAGGACCCCAAGGTATGGGCTAGGGGACCATACTCATGGAAGAACACCATGATATGGGGTGGGAGGCCATGCCCATGCAGGATACCAAGGTACAGGTTGGGGGACCATACCCTTGGAGGACCCCAAGGTATGGGGGTAGGGGACCATACTCATGGAAGAACACCAAGATATGGGGTGGGAGGCCATGCCCATGGGGGGATACCAAGGTACAGGTTGGGGGACCATGCCCTTGGAGGACACCAAGGTATGGGGTGGTGGGTGCCGTACCCATGGAGGACACCAAGGTATGGCATGGGGGATCATACCTGTGGAGAACACCAAGGTATGGGGTAGGGAATGATTCCCTGGGAGGACACCAAGGTATGGGGTGGTGGGTGCTGTACCCATGGAGGACACCAAGGTATGGTGTGGGGTGGAGAACACCAAGGTGTGGGGTAGGGAATGATACCATGGGAGGACACCAAGGTATGGGGTATGGGACCATGCCCATGGAGGATATCAAGGTACAGGTTGGGGGACCATGCCCTTGGAGGACCCCAAGGTATGGGGTGGTGGGTGCTGTACCCATGGAGGACACCAAGGTATGGGGTAGGGAATGATACCATGGGAGGACACCAAGGTATGGGGTATGGGACCATGCCCATGGAGGACATCAAGGTACAGGTTGAGGGACCATGCCCTTGGAGGACACCAAGGTAGAGGTTGAGGGACCATGCCCTTGGAGGACATCAAGGTAGAGGTTGAGGGACCATGCCCTTGGAGGACACCAAGGTAGAGGTTGAGGGACCATGCCCTTGGAGGACATCAAGGTAGAGGTTGAGGGACCATGCCCTTGGAGGACATCAAGGTACAGGTTGGGGGACCATGCCCTTGGAGGACACCAAGGTATGGGGTAGGGGACCATACTCATGGAAGAACACCACAATATGGGGTGGGAGACCATGCCCATGGAGGATACCAAGGTACAGGTTGGGGGACCATGCCCTTGGAGGACACCAAGGTATGGGGTAAGGAATGATACCATGGAAGGACACCAAGGTATGGGGTATGGGACCATGCCCTTGGAGGACACCAAGGTGCAGGGATCTGAGCCGGGTGGGGAGACCATCACACCACACATCCACCTTGCAGGTGGAGGCACGGACGCTGGCCATGCTGCGTGGTCTCCTGCGCCAGCGTTGGAGGACACCAAGGTGCAGGGGTCCGAGCTGGGTGGGGAGACCATCACACCCCGGGGCCACCACTGTCCACCTTGCAGGTGGAGGCACGGACTCTGGCCATGCTGCGTGGTCTCCTGCGCCAGCTCCACGCCGCCTGCACCCGCCTGGTCACCGGCGCCCGGAGTTTCCCCGACAACGTTCAGGAGACGGTGGGACACGTCCGGCACGGGGTGGAGGGCGTGCAGGCTTCCCTGTCTGGTGCCCGCTCCTTCCATGACCTGTCGGGGTTGGTGCTGGCCCAGAGCAGGGAGACGGTGCTGCGGGCGCAGCTGAGCATCGACGAGCTGCTGGAGTACGTGGGGCAACACGCCCCCCTGCCCTGGCTGGTGGGACCCTTCGCCCCCGTCCTGGTGGAGTACCCGGAGGACGTCCCCGTGGAGATGGCCAAATGGGAAGGTTGCGTCACCGTCGGGGGGTCGCACCACCTGCCCGCTCCCCCCCGGCTCTGCAGCCAGCGCTGAGCACCCCACCACCACCCCAAAGCACCACCAAAGTTGGGGGGCACCCACCTGCCCGCAGCAGTGGGACGAGGTGCCCATGGACACGATGACCCACCGTGGGACCCCTGATGCCAAACTTGGGGACTTATTTGGGGAGGGAGGGGGTGGTGGCACATGGAGGGTGCAGCGTGTGCCCATCCCTGCCCATTTGGGGGTCCCCACTGTGCCCCCAAACTTGGAGAACGCCGAGATTTCTTGTCTTAGTGCCTTCAACTTTAAAGAGGAAGAAAACAACTCTTTTTTTTTTTTTTTTTTTTTCCTGTAATTCAGGGAGAACAGTCTTAACTGAAAGTTTAGACAAATTTGTCATCCCTTAACAATCTGAA